CATTTAGCTGCTGATTAAACAATGTGGAATAAATGTGGAATTTTCTGCATGAAGTTAAAGTGCTTGTTTTCTGGTGACTCGTTCTAAAGTTACCACTAATTTTGAATTGGAAAATATCGGGGATACATCTCACGACTAAATATCAGCCAAAAACTTTCACAAGAGGTATACAAAGGTATAAATAACTATTAGAATACTTTAATTTACATATAAATTCATCTATATATTACCAATCGATTTCATTATGCAACTAAAAGTGAGGGCGATAATCCTATGTTGTAGAATCTGATCAATTTTCTTCTTATTTTTCTTCCCTTAAATTTACCCCAGTGGCACAGTGGTATGTCTGCGGACTTACAATGCTAGAATCAGAGTTTCGATACCCGTGATGGGCAGAGCACAGATAGCCCAGTGTGCAGCTTTGTGCTTAATTATAAACAAATAAACAAACAAACTTTCCTTAAAATCAATGTTTACAGCACACTTGTTAAAGTATTACGTTTAGAAAATAAAATAAAACGAAGGAAGTAACACACTCAAAAGTAGGTGACAAAATTATAATATCGTATGTACAAACATGTTTTTAATATAACAGGGTAGAAACTTTTGATTTTAGTAACAACCTATACACTAGAGTTTTCCTATTCATAAAAAAATTAGTAAACAGATATGTTAATATGATGATATTACCCATAAAATGTGCCAAGTCATTTTTCCAATTCGGCCAACATGTATTCCAATAAATGTTTGTTTGTTATGAATTTCGCGCAAATCTACACGAGGGCTATCTGCGCTAGCCGTCCCTAATTTAGCGGTGTAAGACTAGAGAGAAGGCAGCTAGACATCACCACCCACCGCCAACTCTTGAGCTACTCTTTTACCAATGAATAGTGGAATTGACCATCACATTATAACGCCCCCACGGCTGAAAAGGCGAGTATGTTTGGTGTGACGGGGATTCGAACCCGCGATCCGCAGATTGCGAGTCGAGCGCCCTAGCCATCGGCCATGTCGGGCCTTCTCAATAAATACGAGGAATACTTTGGGAAGTAACTTTAGGTCATAAGTTGCAGATTTATATTTATTCGAAGTTGAATAGAAAATTTTGGTAAGAAAGCTTTCTTTGCACATAATTCGGGCTTTTAGGTATATTATTGATATTATTTTTACCAAATTATCAAGGTTTTCGTAACGTAGCCAAACAGATTTATCCACCAGAATTCACTCCGAAAAATCAGACCTCATTTCGGAAAAAATCCAGTTTACTGAAACACACATACCTGGATTTAGGTATCAGTATTGTAATCAAGTACTATGTTTCAAAGTTTTCAATAAAACAGACACTTTTAATTTTATAGTTATAGATTTGTCCATTTCTAAAAATATGTAAATTTTTAGATACAACATAATTTGTTCAACATTACAGTATTTCGTAGACAAAGCTTATAAACACACTCACATTTTACACATGAAAGGCTTTTCCTACCGCATTTTGAACAATAGGTTAATTCATTTTTGCGGGAAATTATGAAAATAATATTTTTACAGAATATCATGAACTTTTCTTAACATTCAGTTCTACACATTAATTTCTTGAAAACATGTTTAATGTAATAACGAACAATTATAATATAACCAAGACCATTGGTTTTAACTCCCGTTTGTCTAGCTTTTACTCTAGCAGTTGCGTAACAGTTATCTATATGACATAATATTACGTCATTAGATAAGTTACATTAGTTTATGCTAATTAATTAAATTGTCATATTTACTATTGTTGTTGCTTTCTTTACTAAGTCTTATTAGTGTGGGCTTTTTTCGAAACTTATAGCGTATATAGTATTCAGCTACTATTTAAGATTTAACTTTATTTGTTAGTTCCGACTACCGCTTCATATGTTTGTAAAGTGACAAGGGTTAATTAAAGTCGGATTACTCATAGTTTGGTTCATATATTATTGCTCTTTTTTATCACATTTAACTTGGTTATATTTTAGTTTAGTGTCAATATTCTTGCTATTTATTGCACAATTCTGTTTTTGTTTTGTTTTTGCTGCAGTATTTGTACTGTCCTGCTACACCACTCCATGGCTAATTAGTAATATGTGTCGTAGTAATTTATCTCAGATGCCAAACTATTGTAAAGTCGTTTAATGAACTTTCATTAGTCACAAGTCGGTGTTAGTAAGGATTATATTCAGATTTGTGTATACTGATGTATGTTTGTCAAGAAACATGAAACAAATCATTAATGTTTAAGTGTTCTGTAAGTTATACTTTATTTTTCTTTCATTTTGCTTTCATTAACGCTATTGGTTCGAATGATCAATATATCTATTTTTATTGTTTTTACTATTTTTGTTAAAGATTGTTTCGTATTGTTAGCTTAGTATATAGATTTAGGACTAACCTAAATCTTCTAAGCTGGCTAAGTCTTGTGAGATACTTTTGGGATTTAAAACGAAAATACCACAAACAGCGTGGGTATCCAACTGGTGAATAGTGCATTTTATCATTATAAGTAAGGATGTAAGGATAGTATTTCTTAATTAGCTATACTCATTACTAGGTTGATTTTCCGTTCTGGTCTGTGTTGGTAGTTTACCTTGATCACAAGTTAATTTTAATTAGCAGTGTGAGCGTGACAGACTGTAACCTATGGTAAAACATGCACTTAATTAACTAAATGGATTTTTCAATAGACAGATAATGTAATATACTTTAAAACCAAGGGTTATGTATCACACGGCAAGAGTTCGTAGAAAGAACGTAGTCTTGCGTTTAATATATAAAAAAGAAGGATATATTGCTTGAAACCATCGTATTATTTAATACAGCCAAGTAAGGGAAATCCACTTTCAACGATACGACTCACCAGTAAATGTACTTTTTAAAAACCTTATTCCGCTATATAATTATCATAATAAACTGTCTTTTCAGTTCTTATTGTATGAAGTGAATTACAAGAAGGATCTCGTACATCGTTATGGATTTATAACCTAAAAATGCTTTTGTAATACGGCTGTGAAATATCTAGCGAAATCATAGTCAGTAATCTAATCTAAAATATACCGATATTTAGAGACACATGATAATGAAACCATAAGACAAGCTATAAGAAAGCCCTCAGTGTAGATGCTAATGATCCTAACTCTGTTCTTTTTCTTGGGACTTTTTATGTAGGGGATATTTATATGACCAAGTGTGGGGACAATTTAATAATTAGTAATTCTATGAACCTGTGAGTGAAAGCAAGTAAAAATATGGTGTCATACTTCAACCACACTACATATGTCATATGTTAAGCTGATGAGGCATTTCGCTCCAAAACAGGACTCATCAGGCCGGCTAGGGTACAAAAGATATAGTAGCAGTCTAGGCGCTACAGCAACATAAAATACAGCTACATAACAGCAACTGTTATGGTGTGAATTGTAATTGTTGTAAATATTTATTTAAGTCATTTAGAAATGAGATTTTAATGTAACGATTAATAACACAGCATTATTTACTTATTTTTAAATTTAACACCAATTATTTAATGTTATTTAATTAATGTTATACTTCTTCATGCTGATTGATGCAAGTACCACTTAATTACGAAGAAAATTATGTTTTGTTATTACCCTTGTAGCTTCGTTTTCCCTTATCAGAGATTCGCTATGGCTCTCCCTATATATATACATAAATAGCTAAATTACATAGAAATTATTATTATATCTGTATTAAGTTCTTGTAGTGTTGTTTATTATCTCCTATTTACCCTAAAACATATCTTAACCATACGCTTCTACTCTAGACAGTTAAATGGAGTGGTTATCAGTCACCTAGATAGATATACATTATCTGAGGTAGGTAAACATTAGTTTCATTTAGTCACTAATTATGTATTGCAGCTTGACATAAAACGTCATAGAAATCTGTTGAAACAAAAATGATGGTTTAGTTCCTACTTCGAATAACAAATATTTGTCCATAGAACTAACCAATTCACCTAACATTATACAACTCATTTAAGAAACAGTCTGTGGTGTGCGTTAAATTACTAAGGGTATTTTGAAATATTCAGTAAAATTGTTCCTAGCTACTAATACGACACTATTCGTTATCAGCTAGTGAGTCTACTTCCCTTGTAGAAGTTACAAGTGAAAGAAAAAAATTAAGAAATATATATTCGGATACCAGATAAATACTTAACGTATTTAACGACAATCCAATATATGATTATGGGTGAGACAACCAGTTGTCCAATGAGAATTCACACCAAATTCTATGAATTTGACTTAGATGAAATAAATATCTTTTTTTCATCTTATCAGTTTTATTATTTTACATCACGTTTAGAGAAAGTTTACAACCTTATGAGAAAATGATTGATATAATTTCTTTTACAGATGAATAAGAAATGCGAGATTCATCATTAGTTCCACAGATAAAGACATATTACAAGAGAAACAAGAAGTTTACATCATTCATGAAGATAACGTTTTCATTAAAGCTGATTAATCCTACTCATTGCTGTTTGTAGATTATGTTACCTACTTTATCCTTTGCAAGTGGGATTATTGCTCACATATCTATCAATTTTTAGGAATCAGCAAATAAACAAACTTTTTAAATAATTTTTGCAAAAACCGATTTTCTATTTTATTCGATTTGTTCATAAATGTGATTAATCAATATGCCTATCAAGTTCTATTTTTCACCTTTGGTCAGCTGATAAGACGGAACAAGCTAGTTTTGCTTTTTAATTATCAGTCGTTTCCTAAATTAAACTAGGCAAGTGACTGTATCAGTAAAGATCCGGAGGGATTTTTAAGTGTGACTTCATGCTGCGATTTAATAATAATTTTACTCCCTAAGCAGTCGATAAACATAGTGTATACTTTCCAGCCGCCGTGGTTTCAAGTTTTTGCCGTCGAGGGCGCTTCAGAGCGGCTTGTTTATGTGGGCCCTTCACAACGCAGATAATCGGAGCTTTTAGCGGGAGGCAGCGACAGTTGCAGCAACCTGCTGTCTGCACTGCTGGGGAGTGGATTCAGCTACCAGAATCTGTCAGAGCCAAAGTTCATCTTCCCGAAGCATGACAGATTTCGCCAGCATGATGTATAATGGCTCCCTTAACTATATCCCCGTCGAGCCTGACAGCAATAGGACGACACTGGTGGACTCGCAGTCGTTAGATGAACTGTTTAAGCTGGTACTGAAATCTACTGTCATGTGTTTGATCATGGTATGTGCCGTATTTGGAAATGTGTTAGTTATTTCAAGTGTCCTGCGGCATCGAAAACTCCATATTACAACAAATTACTTTATAGTATCCTTAGCTCTTGCCGACACTTTGGTTGCTTTACTGGCCATGACATTCAACGCTAGTGTTACCATTGCAGGACGATGGGTTTTTAACCAAACCACGTGCGATTTCTACAACTCATGTGATGTTCTTTTCAGTACAGCGTCCATCATGCACCTGTGCTGTATCAGCGTGGATCGGTACTACGCCATCATCAAGCCATTAGAGTATCCTTTAAAGATGACAGAGGCTACCGTCTTTGCTATGTTAGGGTGTGTTTGGCTGTCGTCGGGCTTTATCTCTTTCATCCCTATCTTCCTGGGATGGTACACCACTAAACAACACATGCAGTTTAGACTCCATAATCCAGAAACTTGTGAGTTTGTAGTCAATAAAACGTATGCCATTATTTCTTCCTGTGTTTCGTTTTGGATACCATGCTTTATTATGGTGTTCACCTATTGGAAGATATACCTTGAGGCAAGCAGACAAGAACAGTTGCTTTACAAGTCTCAACTCGGACCGGGAATATTGCCACCGCCCAGTGCCCGCAGCAGCGCCGACATGACGGCACGCAACAGTGCAGACCACAGTGCCACAGTCAATTTGCTGGTTCCGCCAGGACACCGTAGCTCTTGTACCGAGGACCCTGAGAGTGGTCGTTCCACACCTACTAAAAAGGCTATCAGCAAAATGAAAAGAGAATACAAAGCTGCTAAAACATTGGGGATTATCATGGGAGCCTTTGTTTTGTGCTGGCTACCGTTCTTTTTGTGGTACGTGTCAGTAACTTTGTGTGGAGATCCCTGTCCTACCCCAGGGGTTGTCGTTGACACTCTTTTCTGGATCGGTTACTTTAACTCCTGTTTGAATCCCATCATCTATGCTTATTTTAATCTGGAATTTAGAGAAGCCTTTAAGGAGACACTTCGTACTATTTGTTGTAGATGCTGTTCCCCGAAATGGGAATATATTCATAGACCTAGTAATGCAAGCAATGTCGACTGCACTCATGTATGAAAGCTTTGATTATGCACAGTTTATCTAACTTTTAATCGATGTTGATTGTATATGCTGCAATTTTATACCAAGAAAATAAACATTACTAGTGGTTAGCGGTTTAATTTTGTCAATTTTCGGGGGTTACTTTTTTCTGTCCATAAGTCTGAGGAAAAGTTTGTACACTAAACTCAGGTAAGCATAAAAACATTTTTAGTTTTCTTTTATGCAACCTTGTATTTTTCCGCATGACACGAGTGCTGCTCCTTAAAACACATTTACAGAGAACTATGTATTTGTCTTATTGACAAGCAGTGTCTAGAATACAATTAATCTAGCGTGCTTTTGTAGGCTTTGCTTTGCTGTCGCTCATCATATTCCTGCGCAGTAGCTATGCTCACATTTTCTCAATTGTAACACCTATTTACAGGTAACGTTAGGACTAACTAGCTTGAATTGTCAGTGGTGTACTTCTTCAAGTTAATATAAAATACTAAAATAAAAGAGATAAATGTTTATCCTTAAAGATAAGTTTCTATTACAGAATAACTTAAACACGAGCATTAAACAGTGTAAAGATAATTTGTAAGAATAGTTCTTTGATATAGGATTTTATTTATAATGATGAATCACTTCAAAAATAAATGTATTTACAAAATATTCATTTGTAAAAACAAAAGAAGACACACACACACAGCTGTATATATATATATATATATATTCATTTATTTATTTGGAGACGGTCCTTTTATTGATATTTTTTTCACAGGTTATACTGTAACCAAAAACCCCTAAAAATGCAGCTTTTTCTAATGTTATTTCTTATTATGCAAACGGACGTTTATGCAGATGAAAAATATCAGATGTTAGTTTTTTCCTTATTGAGACAAATTATTTCACAAAACATATATGCTCTTCTCGTTTATGATCCAGGAAAATATTTTCTAAAATTATTTCCTATTCCAGTTTGTTTGAATAGTAAATGTTGTCTGTGCTCTAATAAAATCAGCCGCTGTTATTTGCCATGTAAATAAACGGTGCTCATCATTCTAGTAACCATTACACTTAGAAATATATCTTTCCAACAAATCATACGTTTTACTGGCGTAAAATCTCTCAGAAAATAGGAAGCGATGACAATTTCAGGTGATAATTATTTTTGACGACATTGAAACACTGACGTAACGACTATTTATCACTGATTTTTGGGATGTTTATTTAAATATGTAAATGCTTTATAAAGTACGAAACTATCCGCCTGCCGTATTTGTTATGTGCAATATGTTTTGATTTAAGATTGTTTTGGTTTTCTGTTTTTCGTAATACATTTATTTTGTCTTAAAGTCAAATATGTACATTCTTTCTTATCCAAAAAATTCATTAAAAATTGAAAACTTTTATTTAGCAGAATTTTATGTCTTAATATAATTGAACTTTAGGTATATCACAAATCTCCAAAGAGAACGCATCATTCATTATCATATATATTCATAAAAAGTAAATAAATTAACAAATACATGCTCTTGACAACTTATATCATATAGACTCTTTGTAAGTAGATTTAATTAATGTATTCTTAATAGGTGATTAGTTAAATTTAAGGGGTTAACTATAAGTTCATATTTTTGACAAGAATGGAAAAGTCAAAATCTTTGACAATATACCAAATACATTTTTCAACAAATATTCTATTTTTCTGATATTTCTGAAGAAGTAAAAATGGAAGGCATATCATTTTGTCAAGTAAACTATTACTTCTCGGCTGTTGAGACTCTCAGTTTTCATTTCATTGGTTATTAAGGATGGAATATTGCAACTTAGAATTTTCACTTCATTGGTTATTAAGGATGGAACGTGGCAACTCTTAATTCTTATTTCATTGGTTATTAAGGATGGAACTTGGCAACTCTCAGTTTTGATTTCATGGTTATTAAGGATGGAACGTGGCAACTCTCAATTCTTATTTCATTGGTTATTAAGGATGGAACTTGGCAACTCTCAGTTTTGATTTCATGGTTATTAAG